ATACTCTTTCAACAAAGTGGCAATTTCAAGAATATTATGCAAAATTAAATTAGCTGTTGGATAATATACTTGAGATAACAGAAGAGTACAGTCATGAAACGTTTCAAGAAATTGATTGAACCTTTCAACAATGTGCCAGGTATGATCAGTCAGTATTGGCTGGCCGTCACTGTTTTTTGGGCCATTACGTGTTTGAAGGAAAACAGTAAGTAAATCCTTGTAAGGTAATACAACCTTTAACATAAAATAAGTGGCATTCCACCGATGGTCTGCATCGGTTAAAAACTTACGTGGGGGCTCACCCGATGCACAACAATACCTTTTCCACTGTGCAATCCGTGGGTTTGAAGCAGTTAACCACGTGATTGCTTGACGAACAGCGTCGATGTGTACATTAACTCTCCTAAACCCACATTTAACAATTAGATTAATGATATGGCATGCACAACGCTGATGTAGAAGAAATGATTGAGCATAAATACAAAATAATGGTTGTAGAATTTCCATGGCCCTAGAATTTGCAGATGCATTATCCATTGTTACAGCAAAAATTTTATCTGCAAGGTTAAACTCATCAATAACCTCTCGAATTCTCTCTGCTATATTTTCACCAGTATGTGAAACATCAATTAACCTTAAGCCAAGAACTATTTTTTGCATTTGCCAATCATCATCAATGAAATGTACAACTACACTAAGGTAATCCTCTTTAGCCCTACTACTCCATATGTCTAAGGTGACACTGACAGAAAAAGGTGCATGTACTAAATAATTCCTTCAGTGATTCATAACCTTTGTCATAGACATTTTTCAAATCACGGGTTGTGGTTTGTCTACTAACAGCTTGAAACCTAGGATTATGAGAATTTTTTATGTAATTTTCAAATGCAGGACTCTCACCAAAGTTCAAGGGTAAATCTTGTCTAGCAATTAAACGGGCAAGATTTTCTCGAGCTACCATAGGATCATACTCCCACGTACGTACCGTACCATCACGATTTAGTAGTAGTTGTTGCTGTCGTAGTTGGATTCCTTGCTTCTTTGCACAAGCCTCGGCATGCCGCTTCAAATGTCCTGTTCCACCAGATGATTTTGCAGATAACTTATTTTTGCATATTCTACATCTCGCGAATGTTACCTGCCTTCCATCAGGGCCTGTCATGGCCACCTCATCGAAATGTTGCCAAACACCGGAAGTTCTTGATCTCTTTGAGCCGGTGTTCGTCGATGCACTCCCACTCATAGTGCCAGATGCTTCTGAACCCGCCGGTGGCTCCATAACTGGTGGTGTTGGAGCCGATCCGGTGGCATCATACTCACCAGTTGGGAATGACCTCGACATGTAGTTAGGGTCGAAATCACCTAACGTGAACGATGGAATGTTCGATTCGTCCATTCTGAAAATTTAAAACAACATAAACAAATTTCAGAATATTTATTCGCATAACATAAAATAAAATAATACATAAAACTGAATATATGACGTACTTCTTTCTTACCACCTTTGCTTGGCTTTACACCTCTTGTATGCACTATTTTTATTCACAAACTATTTTTGATTTTAGACAAAATTTTGTCAAATTTTGTCTAAATCAAAAAATCGATCTATCACACGAAAGAGCACAACAGAGCACAAAATGGGAGGTATGGATGATTCAGAATGCTCCGGTGGGTGTCCTATTTATAGAAATAAATTTCATATTTTTTTCGAATTTTTTTCCATTTTTTTGCTCTCCAACGGCTACTTCTCAAAAACAGCGGTCGTTGGATTAGCTCACTAGCCGTTGGGGACACGTGGCACTCTCGCATTCGTCGTTTGACTAGCTGTTCGGCCGCCGTACGGGGTCTCGCTGAGTCGCCTGTCACCGTCTCGGCTGCTCCCAACGAGGCACGGAGTGACGGAGGCAGTCAGAGCGAGAGCGACCCAGCCTCCCAGCCCCAGCGACACGTCGCGACGCCGCTTGCCACGTGCCACGCGTGAACGCAGCGACGCGCGCTTCCCGCCGCTTGGCCCCGCGGCTGCCCTCGGCGGCTCGGCCGCTTGGCGCCACGTGCGCGGTGTGCCTACCCTAGGCCGCTCCCGTGCCGTGCCGTGCCGTGCCAGCCCTCTACAGTAAACGTGCCGTGCCGTGCTGGCCCACGGGCTATGGCGTCGGCCCAGACACGGCACGGGTAAACGGGCCGTGCCGGCATGGCCCACAGGCCGGCGTGCTGTGCCGGGCCTGGGCCTTCTATAGTGCGGTCGTGGTTGGGCCGGCCCGGCTTGGCACGGCCCATTTGGCCAGGTATAGCCGTGCCATGGCGAGGCAACACGTTGCTACAGCTGCTAGTACATAATCCATCCGTCTCAATGCCATAAGTCGTTTATTTTCGTTCTAATCAAACTTCTTTAAATTTACATAAAAACATGATAGCATTTTGAATATAAAACAAATATATTATCAAAACATATTTAATTTAGATTTAATAAAAATTATTTGGTGTCGTAGATGTTGTTTAACTTTTAAACTTAACAAAAATTAACTTAGAAAAAATTTAAATTGATTTATATTATAAAACAGGTGGAGTAGTAGTACGAAACAGCGACATTTTCTCTCGGACACTTTTACCACTCGAAAAATAGGAGTAACCAACATACAACACGTCAACACAGCATATGCTACACTCGACGTCCGAAAGTTAAGTAGCACGGCTAGTGTAGCTGGAAGTGAGGATTAAAAATTCCCATATGGCCATATACTCATACGAGAGTCGGTCAACGATGAGGTTATTTGCTAGAGTAGCGTGGCGATTGGCCACGTACGGCCCACGGGAAGTTGGCTAAGGTGGAAACGCCGAGAGGAGTACGTGATCAGGAAGATCAATCCGTGGACCGTTAACAGCTCTTAATTTGGGTTGTTTATGGCCTTGGAACGTGCAGACAGGTAATCACCGGGAATGTTTAGTCTTAATTGCTCGCGAGCTACGTCGATCGGTTTTGCTAGCTGTCGGTGGTGCTTAATTTCGTGTTTCGCTCATAATTTTCTCAAGGTCACAATTCGAAAAGGCAGTGATGATGAGTATAATCGATAGCAACTTGACTGAAAAAAGAAACCAACAAAGTGTCAAAGTTTATATTCGTACCGTGTAACAACAGCACTGATTGGTCCGGACCTCGTACCATTACCGCTCCGTCCGCACGTACCTGCTTGTGTTCATGATAGATAGAGCCATAGAGGTGTAATACGCGCGCACAGCTGGTCTTAATTTGCCGGTTAATTAATTCCAAGCACACAACGTGCATTTGATTAATGTATAGTGTAGTGGAGGCAGAATTATGGAGCCTGCGGTTTACGTACACACAGAGACGCATCGTCCTGTATAAATATTTCAGCTCTACTAAACACCAACAACTACTAAACACTATCATTCTCTCCAGTCTCCACTCTACATTTTTTTTTGTTTTCTCGCAAACCCTCCTAAAGTATAGCTTGCCCTGTCACGACTGGGCTAGAATATCGACATGATATAGCGAAGGAAGCCCACGCCGTTTCTTCTGGAGCCCAAGTTCCCAACGGTTGCACTGAGACCAGCCCAATTAAGCATCCTCGGCCATAAGTTTATGCACGGAGAAGTACTGCAATTTGAGCCAGATTGATTTAGATTTTTTAAAAAAAGAAACACGGTAAAAAAACAAAATCATATAACATGCACACGCTCACCCCTACTAACACACGTCGTAACCATTGAGTACTCCCGAAAAAATGGATCAACATAGATTTTGAGATTGAACCTCTCATTATCAACAGGTATGTCACCTACCACTGAAAAAATAAATAACACCGTTTTGATTTAGATTATTGATGTAGATTATCTTTTATCAAGTCCACATATATTCTATTAGTAAAAATGATAAGTTTTCACTACTGTCTGTCGTAGTAAAAAAACACAGGAAAGCGGAGAGGAAAACCTTTACAAGAAGCTTGGTATCATCGATGCAGAATTGCAGATCATCTATTTTATTATAGAGATAAGTTAAGTACTGTTGAAAATAAATTTAACAAATAATCAAACCATGTCGTCTAAATAATGCAGTAAAAAACTTTTAAAACATTTTTTCATACATGGAACTATGGAACAAATATCCAACAATCCGATGAATAAACTGAAAGTAACATGAACTTGGAATTAACAAGCACTAGTTCACTACCGTGAAGATTCCTAGAGGGAGACAGAAGATGGTAAACAAACACAAGCTATATTCCATCGTCTCAAAAAAAATTTAACTTCTGAAGTTTAAATTATATCCCATAAAAAACCAAAATTTACCATTATACTTATCATCAGCACATAAAACGAGTAATTTTATTCTTTCAATATCATTTATCTATCTATTATCATTACTATTTTTTAATAATAAAAGTATTTTAGCCATTTTCACTCTTCACTAGTTTTATCTTGGGATGCTAAGAATAGAATTTTTTTGGGGGGAGGGAATGAGTAAATCCTAGGCCCTGTTTGGTTCCATGGGCTAAACATTAGCCCCTACCTTTTAGTTTTGAATTAGCCCTCAATGATTCAAAAGGTGGGCTAATTTTTTGCTAAAGTGAATTTAGCCCCCCTCAAAATATTAGCCCCTCCAAGAGGTGCTAATGGTGCTAATTTTATGTGGGACCATCAAAAAGCAGCTATCTCTCTTTCTCCTTCTCTCTCCTCTCTTTCTACTCTCTCTCTCTCCACCTTTTAGCTTTGAATTAGCCCATGGATCCAAACATGCCACCCTAGACTAATGTTTAGCCTAACAATTTATGACTAAACATTAGCTCTTAAAATTAGCCCTGTGCTAATCTTCCTAACAGGACCTAGACGAGTCCTGGAAACATCACATAAGCTAACTTGTCCAAGGACATCGATCGTACACCAACATTGGTCAGATTAGGCCGTCCTAACCATCTTCAAGTGCAAGACGACGGCCCAACTCGACAGGACAACAACTGATCCGAAAGCAACGCGTCGACGGCTCGCCATATCGATCCACATGCCCAATCCTGATACGATGCCACTACGGTCTCACCTGCACTACAACACCTGTGCACCTCCACACACCGCGCAATCGTGCATGCCTCCGTCTAGTCGTGATCGGACAAAGAGAGTTGACAGGAAAAAAAAAAAGGCAAAAGCCAGCGAGCGCGGTGCGACGGCGCATGCATGCACCCGCGCGCGCGGCCCGCCGCGCGATGGCCCGCATCGCATATACATCGGCGGATTCGCGGCTCGCCATCCCGTCGGCAAGCTTGGTGACGACGCCTCCTCCACGCGCACACGCGCGCGATCTGCCCGATCTGGTGCGTGGGTGTGCACTTGCGATGGATGGCGACTTTGCCTTGGCTTCGCCATAGGCTCGGCCGTTTCTGTTGGCATTGCCTACGATCGAGAGCGGTGGCTTCAAGCCACGACGCGCGTACGTCGTGTGCGTATCGATCCAGCCAGCCTTCACTACTTGCCCATGCCTTTCTGGTGCCTCACCAACTCGACACAGCCTCTGACAAGTGGCTATCTCGATAGCCGGCTCGCACTGTGCTACTGCCTACTACTCCTAGCTCGCATAGGATTCCTCGGCGACGGCGGCGTGCGGTTGCAAGCAAAGCTCTCGGTTCATGGCGAACAACTCCAACTGCTGCGGGTTCATGGCGAACAACTCCAACTGCTGCGGGTTCATGGCGACGTACACCTTTTTCTCGATAGCTCGTTCGTGCTTGGCTGTCGCTGTTGCAGTTTCTGCTACTCCAAGAAGAGAGAGGCCCTTGCATCAAGCTTGGAATCCTAAACCGGGCAGCGAAGCAAGCAACAATCAACAATTAAGAAGTGCATGCACGCTGGCTGTTCAGAGGCTGATGAGCTGGGTGCAAAGTTAAAGATTTGTCAGGTAGACTGTACATGTGGACGGTTGCAGGCTCGCAGCGTGAAAGCTCACAGGCTTTGACTCTTGACCGCCGACATTTGCATTGCAGTGGGACTCACCTGCGGCGCTGACAGGCCTCGCGTACCAACAAAACTTTTGTGGTGATCTTCCCGGTAACCATGCTCAGCTCAGACTGGTGGATTATTTTTCTTGCTCTGTTGCCTTGTTGGTCGCTGTTTCTGAAAGTTGTATAGAAATCTATCCATACATCTATTTTTTTTTACTAATTCACCGGGGGAGAGTTTCCCCACCTGAATATATTGCATCAAACGAAAGTACACAGGGCAGGTTTCACCCGCACAAGCGCAAGAATCCTAGAAGATAGTAGCAGAAGATACACGGGGAGTACAAAGAAGATAATACAAAAGAGAGGCGACCCTCCGAAGGTAACAATTGACGTTTATCATATGTAAAAGACACCTATTATTCAACTGACATGGATTTCTTTCACAATGCCGGTTTTCTTTATTGGCCTATTTTTCTATTCTTTTATCATAAAAAATAAGCATAACTTTCGATGTCTATATCAACCAAAGATACACATAACTATATTTATGAACATCAGCATTTAAGCACGATCATACACCCACGAATCCGTCACAATATCAAAGTCAAAGGATTCTGTCTTCGTTATAGTACTCAGGCACAAAGCACACATCTTAGGTCGTTTTGTTAGTGCTGATAAAAAAAAACATCTATGCTTGCAAAAACTTAAGTATGGAACAATTATGGGTCGTGGGGCGTGTATATGTTTTTACTGTCTATTGGCTGAAATCATGATTCGTTCTCAGATGAGAGTAGGGACCGGGTGCAAGCACAAGTTCACATGATTTTTAGCAGCTAGTGGCATGAACAAAAGTGGGGTTTTCTTTCCTCCATCCATCATATGGAGGAGTTGGCTGGCCACTAGCCGGTGCCTTTTGATGGCGAAGTGGTCACTCCTCAGTAGAAACTTTCTCCAGCTGGTCACTCCTCAGTATGCAGACAAGCAAAGCTTCAGAAAACACTTCATGTTGCTTGGTAATGAGCTTATATGTGACAGTAATACAACATGGGCATCCGGCGTCATTGTGGCCTTCAAACACAAGCATATCATGTGTGGTGTCTCCATCATCTGTTCTTTTGTGTAAATTATCCCCTGCTTTGGACCCCAAGCATCCGATTTATTTTATTAGGGGGGGAATTATGTGGTTTGTGATGTCACTAAATCACTAATGACTGGAATGTGGTGCCATCTGTCCTCTTGGCTTTGACTTCTCCATGTGGCTAGGTTGCACCATCTCAATGGGCCCATGCAATCTAAGCAAGCAATATGCAATCCAATGCAAAGGGAAAACATGCTTATAAATGGCAAAAGGAAAAAGGCTGTTCACCAACTAACTTACTTCATTATTCCACTGATTATATATACCGTACGTAGGAGATAATTGTAGTCTACGGAACAATTTATTATCTGTCAAACACTCAAACATACCTAGTACTTCTTTTCTTTTTTTACTTATGCGCTCAGTCGCACCTAACAAACAGGATCATCAGCAACAAGCACTTCCCTCAAAAAAAAAAAACAGCAACAAACACTACACTCTACACTAGCATGTAACTATCCATCTTTCTAGCCTAGCTTAAAACAAATTATTCAGAGGATTATTAAAACTGATTAACAATCTACTTGTTTGCATAGGTAAAATATATATTTTTCAGAAAAAAGTAAACTCAGTAAATAGCTTAGAACAAATGGTTCAATAACGCAGTTAAATTCTTTTAATAAAATACTCCATCATAATACGATAAAATAAACAATCCATCATAAATAATATGATAAAATAGCTGAAGTGGACGTCACCTAATATGATAACACGTGGACCTTAAAGGATCTACTGAGCACTAAGCACAGCATCTCACTTGAGGAGTTTAGGGACCGACCTGGCAAAGCTACGAGATGATTAGTCGGTACTCTTCTTATGATGTGACGCCAGCTTTTACCACCTCGGATCCTCTCCAATCCACAGTACCAACCCAACCATAACACTGATCGTTACACAGGGTCCACTGCATGCATTGAGCAGTTAGATTCTGTTTTTTGGGACCTTGAGTTGAACGTTGTGACTTGAAGCAACAAGAAGACTTTTCTTCGTCTTTAGCTTAGCCTGTTTATTTATGCGTGTCCTCGTAATCCCGATTTGGCCAAAAAAATAAAAGGCAAATTCCTTTTGTAGGGATTACTAAAACTTGTTAAAACTTGTCAGTGTTAGTGCCAAACAAGTCCTGATAATTGATAAAGATGCCTTTATTTGTGCCCGATCGACAACCAAACCTACGTTTGAGCCTCTCTTGCCTAATCTTTTACTGTAATAATACTATCATTACAATCATTGACATATGAGTTACATCTTTCTATTATCACACCCGTTATATCTATAATTGTAATGTTATTATAGTAAAGGATGTGAACCCTCAAATGTCTGTGCGTCTATCAGTAGCATCGACATGCACCGGTGCAAACTGTGGTCCTACACCGTTAACAACCACCGTGACATCATCCGTTGACGGCAGGGTCTAGCTAACAATTGGAGGCCCCGATGCAAAAATGTATAATAGGGCCTTACAATTTGATAGCCAAATATCCAAGGTCTTTTGTTACTGTGATCGTCACAATATGATTCATAGAATGATATTACATTTAGTTTTATGCATTAGACCTGCTGTGTCTAGTTCAGGGTCTTAGTTCTAATCTTTTGAGGTTTAGCATTTCAGTTATATCATTATTAGTGTATACTTCAGGGTCCTGGACTTCACGTCACGGTTGCGGGCTGCAGCAGGTAGAAGAAGCAACGCGCCGTGGCTCGCCGGCTTTCCTTCGTTGCAGGGTAAACAACGCGTCGGTCGGAGGCGAACACGTCGTATATACGCGCACACAGTAGTTACACATGGTCCGGCGGAGTCGGTCTTCACGCCAGCGAAGAACAGCCGTATCTCGTCAGTGGTCAGATCGATCTACCAATACACGCGACCGATCGAACGAGGCGAACGAACAAACAACCGCGCGCGCGGATGGACGCTCGCGCTGGTGGTGCGCGACAGGAAGTCAAGATGGCATCACGCGAGAGCCAGTTCGATACAGCGCGGCTGCGTACTGCGTTACCGGGCACATGCAGGAGGAGGGTAAACACGCTCCACCGGCGACGCGGGCAGAGGCAGCTGGCTACGGGAGTACGGGCTAACCCGCACACGGGCGAGGAGAAAACCGCCGCGCCGTGACATATGAGACCACGTACGTACGTGCGTGCGCGCGGTCACGGGTGCCGGCCTGCCGGGTGCGTGCTCGTCGTGGCGTCGGTTTTTCTCACAGCCCGTCCGGTAGGATACGCGCTACGCTACCAACCGTGTCGTCGTATCGCGGTCTACCGCGAATAGGAAAGACGCGTGGTACAGTGCCAAACTGCCAACGTCTGGATGACTGGATCGCCTTGGCATCACGTACAGGTCGTAGGACGCAATACTGGTGGTTTTATTACCAGGAAGAGCTAGACAGATTAACCAACACACCCGGAAAAGATAATCCGTGTCTGTTTGTCGCAACATGGTTTTGCTGGACAAACGCAGCCTTCTTTTTTTTTTAACCGGCCATCGACCGACTCACCGCGGATGGATCCGGCCGAGGCGCCGCTTTTTCTCCCACGTGGCCTGGGCCTTTTTTCTCGTCTCGGGCAGTGCAGAATTGCTGGGGGTTTGTTCAGGATCGTCAGTTCGTCATGAGATTTTCGTACCCATGCGTGCCAATGTGCTGTGTACTTTGAAGCATGGAGTGTGGACCAAAGTTGAGCATCCTATGAGCAAGTTTAGAGGGTTGTTGACAGAAAACACGAGGCTTGGGAGATCTGCTTAACTCCAGTGCAGGTTCAAAGCTCGCCTTCGGGTGTGTTAGCGTGCCAGTTGATTTAATCCTGTAATCAACAAGAAATAGAAGCAAAGAAACTGCGGTTAAATTTATAAATGATAGCCGATCGGCTAGGTGCCGATGACATATCATTTATCTTTGAGCCGATGTCATATGTGAATCGATCGGCAGTCATGAATAAGTAAGAAGGAACTAAATCTACTCGATCGACTGTAGATAGTAACAATATATACTCCTTATATCGATATATACTTAAATCAAGTGATTGGGATAGATTGATCATCATGCCGAGACAGTATAAATCACTTAGATCGAAATATATATTAATAACAGGACTATATATGTTTATAGCATAGCCGATCAGATTGATCTAGCATGTATCGGCTAATACTCCGATACTACTATATATCAGGATATTTAAAATAGGTATAAAGTATCAAACAAAGGCCTAATACGCTTGAATACAGCAATATCTTAACATAAATGGCAGATTTAACATGTCAACGAAGCATATAGAACAAATGTGGTTCAATCAGATAAGATCGGCTGAAACTCTGATGTTACTCTAATCGGCAACCAGAAGGCAGGCTAGAGGTTGATATTCTAAGCATGACTTGATAGATCAAACTCAACTAATGCAACATTAAGTATGAAAAAAAGAACAATATCTAGACAATCAAGCCGTTGGAAGTTTCATAAAGTGGTAGATATCTTATATAATCTGAGTCAACGTTAGAATCTAACCTAATCGGCTGCCTTCTTCAATAGATGTTAGCTGATTGTAGGTTAGATAGCGGTATTGCCAGGGATTATGTAAGATATATGATAACTCGACGAATCACATAAACAAGATTAGAGTATCATAAAGATGGAAACACTAATCTTAAGAACGCAAGCCGTCATAACAAGTTTTACATCTTGTTGAAGATCGAAACCGATGCAGCTCAACCCGAAAGCAAGAACTCATCGAAACAAAACTAAAGTAAAAGGGTGGCGATGCGCCAAAATTGTATTGAACGTGTGTGTTAAAAGTTACATAGGGCTCGGGTCTATTTATACCCGAGAATTACAAGATATGTCCATAACAGACACGACTATTATCTCTAACAAACTCTAAAATATTATAAGTCTTTGCGGCAGACTTTTGCCCAAACATATCTTTAAGGAAATTACATAAAACATCCTAATTAATAAATACAATTGCCTCCTCAGGACTTTATCCATGTGCGGCAATCACCTTGAAGCACCTCAATCCAACCCGACATCACACATCAAGTTGTATTGCCGGGATCGGCTACATCGGTTTACCTAGTCCGACTCAGACTCAGCCGATCTTATCGTAGCCGATCTGGACTCCAGCCGATTCCTGCTCTGTTTTCAAACTCGATCTCCGCCTCCGACTTCACTTCGATCTAATCTTCTTTTCCGATGCCGATATTACCAAATTTGGTTGTTAACAGGGGTGTTTGGGAGAGAGGGGCTAAACTTTAGCCAGTTTAGCCCCTCTCTCCCAAACACCCCTTTAACAGTATAGCTCACTACTAGCTCTAATTCATCTATAGCCAATCTAATAGTCAATTCATACAATAGTTGATTACTATACTCTCTCTCTCTATATATATATATGGTCCTACCTGTCATACACATACTACGGACTTGTTTGGTTTCCAGGGACTTATTCCAAGTCCCTGTCACATCGGATGTTTGGACATTAATTTGGAGTATTAAAGATACACTAAGGGGGTGTTTGGGAAGGAGGGACTTCACAAAAATTTTAGTCTCTCTCATAGGGACTTATGCTTTTGTGAGAGCGACTAAATTTTAGTTCCTCCTTCCAAAACACCACCTAATTACAAAACCCATTCCATAACCTTGGACTAATTCGCGAGACGAATCTTTTGAGTCTAATTACGCCATGATTTTGACAATGTGATGCTACAGTAAACTTTTGATAATTATGGATTAATTAGGCTTAAAAATTTCATCTCGCGGATTAGCTCTCATTTATGAAATTAGTTTTTTTATTAGTCTATGTTTAATATTCTAAATTAGCGTCCAAACATCCGATGTGACATGGGCTAAAAAGTTTTAGCCCCATCTAAACACCCCCTACGTCTTGGAGTCCGTGCTGCAACTGGCTACAGATCTCTGTAGCCCGCTGCTCTTCTCTCTTATCTTTACCGTGTCTCAATAAAATATGTTTGTAGCTGGTTAATAGTTTGCTATTGTACGTGCTCTACGATGATCGATCAACAATGGCCGTCAAACGTTTTTGCAGCTTGTGAACTTCATACTGTCAAACTGGAGTTATTTTTTTCCCCTCCACTCTGTCAAGCTAATACAAGGTGTCCCTGTCACTGAAAAAAAGGGATAAAAAAATTACTATACTGTACCATCCGCTTTTTTTTCCTCCTACACTATGCATGTGTTTTGGTTCAGTTTATGCTTATGTTTTCCAGTCTTTTGTAATATGGTTTTGGTATTCGTATTTTGTCCGACTGTTAGCACCATGGAGACGGAGGTAGTACAGTTACACAAAAATATTCCGGCCCCCTTTAGAATACAAAAATATTACAAGGTTTTCTATGTATGTAAAAAACAGTTCATTTTCTTTAATACTCCCGCAAAATTCCTCCGTTTCAAATAAGGCCTCAAGGAGAGCCTTACTGCTTAACTATTGCTTGAAGTACTGTTGTTCTTGCCACCCCAATATGTGGTCCAATAGGGTACCAATTCATTAGTAGATTTGCAGTGCATATCCATTAGCTCATCCACTTAAAAAAAAGTTTCATTGTAGCCATGATGGTTTTATTATTGGGGACGGCAAAGCTTCCTCCGACGGGGAGCAAAATTAAAGTTTCATGAGATGACTGTAATGAAGTGGACAAATCATTAACGCAGCACCACTGAGTTTGACCTAATAATTCTACTCTCATCACGCAGCACATGACATGCAGACGTGCCTTGTGGAGAAGACAACCTCCACATATGTTACGTGGCTAAACTGACAGCAGCATGCATAGAGAAAAGGCAGAAAGCGTACAATACAGTGCACTTGAAGATCTTGCTTCCGTTGCACACTAATCTTACACCGTTCAAAGCTTAATTTATACTGTATATCATCAACAGTACCCGTGATGGTAACACTTGCGTTTTGTCTGCATGCATAGGCAAATCTACGCTTGAAAGGGAGTCTACATAGTAGTACTAGAAACAAACTCGCATGTTCCCTACCGGCAAAGCATGTAATTAAATCTCTAAAGAAGTTGTGTTGCGGAAACCTTATCTCAATATATGAAAAAGGGTGTTTTAAAAAACAGTTTGAAAATTTGACACTTTTTCTTTTTTTGGTGAATGCAATTTAAACCAAACCAATGACTAACAGTGGCGCCTTTTATGCTTGCTGCTTTCAGCGTAAACGTTCATATCAACGACCGTCATCAATTGATGATCTGACTGTCTGAGACGACCATGAAATAGTAACCGTATATGCGCTAGCTAGTAATAACACTGACATCAATTAGCAATTTAGCATCCGTGAAAAAGAAATATCATGAAGAGATGTCATTTCTTCCAAAACGAGAGCGATATCGTAGCAACCCAATACCCCCAAAAGAATATTTCAAAACGTGCCAAAATTAATACTCACCACAAATGACACAAAATACGAGTTTTCGGTGAATACAAGTTGAACCGACAAATCAACGAGTCCATGACGACCGAACAGCCACCGTCAAATTCCAGAATAATTAGCTTTGAGCCTGAAAGGAACTAAACAGCGTCTAATCACCACGATTAAGCTCGTCGTAATTACCATCTCAGCTAATCACCCCCGAAACCCGACGCTTTAAATATTCGCGAAGCGTCCCCCCCTTCCCCATCTCTCTCTCTCCTCCGGTTTTTAAACCCACTGTTCCGAGCAAGACAACAGCAGCAGCTGCTCGCGGCGGCGAAGCGAGACGAGGCGAGGCGAGGCGAGGCGAGGCGCCCCACCATCGTGAGGAGGGGGGAGCCATCAACTCGAGCTCGACGCGCCGGCGGCCGGGGTGCGAGGCTAGGGTTAGGGTTCCCCTCGATCCGGCATTGCGGAGGCCCCCCACTCGGCGCGGCGGGCGCGGCGGGGGCTCGAGAGAGCGAGAGGGAGAGACGCGCGTGATTTGGATGGTGGATTGCGGCGCCGGGGCTCAGATCTGAGATGGCGGACGGCGGCGGCGGGGAGGAGGGGAGCGCGTCGGCGCTCAGGGGCTCCGCGCGACGGCGCGGGGCGGTGCAGCCGGCGGGGCTGGACGCCGACGAGCTCCTCACGCTGATGCACGGGTCGGATCCCGTCAAGGTCGAGCTCAACCGCCTGGAGAACGAAGTGAGGGGTGAGTTGATGATTCCTGGATGATTCCTTCAATTCCTTCTGGGGATCTTACGGGCTAATGCTTATGTATTTTTCTCGTTTGGTTTTAGATAAGGATAGGGAGCTCGGAGATGCGCATGCGGAGATTAAGGCGCTAAGGCTGTCAGAAAGAGCGCGGGAGAAGGCCGTCGAGGAGGTAAACGGCCTAACCGTGCTTCGGATTTGCATACAAGTTTTGTTGTTGTCGCTTTTGTTTTATTTCATCAGTAAATTCGTTCTGGAGTCTGGAGTAGTGTCGGTGTACGAGAAGTTCAGGAGACTTCAGCGACAAATTTGATGTGTTTGGGGGGAAGAAAACACTGACAGGTTTAGATACCAGGTGGTTATGGCGGGAATGTTAGGAACGAGATCTGATATCTTGTGTATTCTGCTGTAGTCCTGTAGATAATGTTTGATTAGGTTTAATGGGACTCAAGAGTCTCAGATAGTTTTATAGCTCACTCCAAGTGATGTATCATTGTGGTTTTGATTTGTTTACTGTAAGTTTGCCTTTTGCTTCAAGTATGTTAGGTTTAGAAAGGCTGCTATATTTTTCTCACATAGTTTAAGTTTTTTTTCCTCTGGGGAACTCCTTATTCTTTTGGGCCTAGATATCAATGTGCACCTCTACACTAGTATATTACTTATTATTTTGTTATTTTGTTTCATGTTTTTCTATACCATACTTCGGTTATTTGTTCAGGTGCCCACAGTAGTTTTTCCAGACATGTTGGATACAATTAGCTTGAGCGGAATGATTCACCTTCCTTGATTTTGTCTTTCCTTTTCTCATTTTTACAAGAGAGATATTCATTTCCAACCTTCTGGATCGATGCTCACAAGCGTTGATTTCAATGTTTCTTGGAGCACTTCTGGACTAGGATGGATATCTTATTTTGTTTTTCATGTAACTTTGGTTTGCAAGCAACTAAACAAGTAAATAAACTTAGTTCAATTAAGAACAATATGCACAAGCACTGTTGCCCACATTTGCTCTTGATCTGAGGGTGTGTAATCTCCATTTTATTTAGAGCAAGGTAAATCTTTTTTTTTTCATTTTTTTATGTGCTTCTGTAGTATAAATTATCTTGCCTGATACTCTGATGGCATTCATCTTGATCTTATTATTGCTATAGTTTTCTTTAGTTTCCTCATGTCCTTTTGTGGCTCACATTTCATGTCTTCTGACAGTTGAATATATCCTGTCCCAGTGGTGGATCTAGAAAAAAGTTTGAGCCTGAGCAAACTTAACTATAGCTAGAATTTACTCGAAAATTCATATTTCGGCTTTACTAGATACATAGAATTTTAATGGATTGCCCATCGATGAGCCCAGGCGGCCTCTTGGGATCGCTGGGCGGTGGATCCGCCAGTGTCCTGGTCTTAAATCATGTTTGATAATGGGCAAACCAAACAAGTCACTCCTTAAAAGTAAAAAAAGGAGGGTTGTCCAAGTTTTTATTTTTTGTTCTGTTGGGAACTTGGCACTAACTTTGCTGTGTCCAAAGGTTTTTCTGGATTTTCTTGTAACTCTTTTCAGGCTAGTGCTCTTTGTTGTGTTATTCCTGCATTTGGTCAATTAGTAGACTTTGTTTCTTCAGAGTTTTCATTATTGGGTATACTAGGCATATGGGGTATCTGCATGATATATTGTGCATTCATGCTTGTTTCTTCACAGCTATTGATATTATTGCTATTTTTTTTAATCTCGTGTCAACAGCTCACAGCGGAATATGAGAAGCTGGATGAGAAACTCAAGCTAACAGAGTCTCTCCTTGAAAGCAAAGTATCTATCTTTATACTTTTTAAAGTTGTTTCTGCCCCCCTCTTTTTGATTGCTCCCTGATGGAGAACATTTTGCAGAATCTAGAACTCAAGAAAACAAATGATGAGAAAAAGGCGGCTATGGCTGCTCAGTTTGCAGCAGAAGCAACTCTGCGAAGAGTGCATGCAGCCCAAAAAGATGATGATATGCCACCTATTGAAGCTATTCTTGCTCCACTTGAAGCTGAACTAAAGCTTGCTCGTCAAGAGGTAATACTGTGTTACTCAAATGGCCAGGCATGGCCATATTTTATTGTTCATTTTGTTTGGTGTTGATATTACAATATTTTCTCACACTTATTTAGATTTTGCCTCTTGCTTCCATAGTCCTAATTCAACTTCTCCATTCCACCACATGCATGTTCACTATAATTGTCTAAAGAATAAGATTTGCTTTTTTTCTTCAGATTGCAAAACTCCAGGATGACAACAGAGCTTTAGATCGTCTAACAAAACAAAAGGAGGCAGCGCTGCTGGAAGCAGAAAGGACTGTAGAAATTGCATTAGCAAAAGCGGCCATGGTTGATGACATGCAAAACAAGAACCAAGAGTTAATGAAACAAATTGAGATCTGCCAGGTACATGTCTAGTATTTCACAGTGTTGTAAGAAATAACCGTTAGATCACTCTGATAAAACTGAATGGGGCCAATTTGCTTGGTACCATCTCAAAAATCTCGGAGTTGGAGAATACCATCGTATGTGTCATTGACATGTGGGTCTAGGCACCTCATGTCATTCTCCCGTACGTCTGTATTTTGTAACTCCTGTATCTCCTTGATGGCATTTTTCAATTTTTCTCAAACTGAATTGATTATCTTTCTGGATTAAAGGAAGAAAATAAGATCTTGGACAGGCTGCACCGCCAAAAAGTTGCTGAAGTAGAAAAGCTTAGTCAAACTGTAAGAGAGCTGGAAGAGGCTGTTCTTGCTGGTGGTGCAGCTGCTAATGCTGTCAGAGATTACCAGCGGAAAGTTCAAGAAATGAATGTAACATCCTTTACTGTTGCTTTCGGATAATCTTCACTGTTCTGTACGCAAAAAAGTTGACCCATGCTAATCTCTAACCATGGCACACTTAGGAGGAAAGAAAAATTCTTGACCGTGAGCTTGCGCGGGCAAAAGTTACAGCAAACAGAGTTGCTGTTGTAGTTGCAAATGAGTGGAAAGATGCTAATGACAAAGTAATGCCTGTCAAACAGTGGCTTGAAGAGCGCAGGTTTCTGCAGGTAAAGATGATATACTTCTGTTTGTTTTTTGAAGCTCATCTACGGTTGTCCATGCAAAGTCACACTTCACATCATATATTCAATTTTTATGGCATGACAAATGTTTCTTCAGGGTGAGATGCAGCAACTTCGTGATAAACTTGCTATTGCAGAACGAACAGCTCGATCTGAAGCTCAACTAAAGGTGAGAAAGCTGGCATTCATCTTAAGCTAAACTTTTATGGAAGCAAGTTACTTAATTGTGCACTGTTTCAAAATCCTTCTACTCAGGAAAAGTACCAGCTGCGCCTAAAAGTTCTAGAAGATGGATTGAGGGGGCCACCTAGTGGTTCTAGTCGTCCTACAGAAGGAAAGAGTATCGGTAATGGACCATCCCGTCGGTTGTCTCTAGGTGGAGCAGATAATATGTCAAAAATCTCCCCGAATGGCATGTTGGCAAGGAGATCTCCATCATTTAATTCAAGATCCTCTCTTTCTACTAGCAGCAGCTTGGTCATCAAGCATGCAAAGGGAACTTCAAGGTCATTTGATGGTGGTACCAGGTCATTAGACCGTGGAAAAGTCCTTGGGAATGGACCTCATTTGCTCAATAGATCTACGGATGCTGTTAGAGATTGTGAGACAACTGATGATTGGAAGGCGGCTAACACAGAAGAAAAAGGTAGCGAGGCCACAAATAGTAGTTCAACTGACACAGTATCTGGTGTACTCTATGACATGCTGCAAAAGGAGGTCATTTCATTGAGAAAGGCATGCCATGAGAAAGATCAAAGTCTAAAAGACAAGGATGATGCAATTGAGGTATGGCACTAGAATTCCTGTTTATTATGGATTTAATGGGACCAATGCTGTGGGTCATGCCTTTGCTAACTGCCTCTTGTTTACAGATGTTGGCAAAAAAGGTAGATACATTAACCAAGGCTATGGAAGTGGAGGCTAAAAAGATGAGGCGAGAGGTAGCTGCTATGGAGAAGGAAGTTGCTGCTATGCGTCTTGACAAGGATCAAGAAAACAAGGCTAAGCGGCCTGGAAATTTCAAAGGACCTGGAACCACTTCTCAGGCGCCTCATGGAAGGTATATCTATGAATGCCTTCTATATTTTGAGAAGCTGATATTTCAGCTATAGGGATATTCAAATGCATATACCTCTGATACCGGAAAGTTTTGTAAACTTAAATATGCCATGTTGTCATCCATTTCAATTCTCGAGATTCATACTTCATTTGCCCTTGAGATATTTTATCACAGTTGTGCTTAACTACTTATAAGACTGCTGACTTTCCCTACTTCATTTCCCTCTGCCTGATCTCATTAGATTGGCTGCGAGTTGCTTTTCTTAGACACAGCATTACAGCAACCTTTTGACTTTTCCCTTGGATTGAGTTTACAGATTCCTGAGTAGCAATAGTAGTTACTTTAGGCGTTAGATGATACATGACACATCCATATAATTAAGATTTTATTCTCTTTTTGGCATCAGTAGTTCTTGAATTTGTACTATCTGTTTGATATTGAGCCTCTATTTATTAATTAATGCCTGGCTAAATCATCTTGAACTGTCTTCTTTTGCAGCAGAAATGCACCACGGGGTGGGTTGACTCGGAACCTTCAATAACATACCTCTAACACCAGTCAGCATGAATTTCTTCGATAGTTTCGGATTTCCCTTTGTATTTGTTCCTCTGTTCGTATTAATTTTGTGATTGAGATAGCACAGATGACCCTGCGACACCTAGATTGGGGAAAGAGTAGGCTTGCATCTGACATCGGCTTTGCTGTAATGTAGTGAAGGTAATCCTTCGGTAAGGTTTAACCTTGCGGCACGCTCCCATTTTGTCAAGGCAGTGCACGTTGTGGTTGTATAGGCTGGAGGACCTTGTCTTCTTCCCTTCTGTAATTTAGATAGTGTGTTTGCTTTTGCTTGTCAGGGTTGTGAATATATTATTATCGCAATATATTAGGGTCACCCTCTCCCGCTCTATTTGAGCTTGGTTGGGCTGTAATTGATTTCTCGTGTTTAACTGATGTAGCACAATTAACTCTTGATATTTTGTTTCAACCTCGAGCTGAATCAGAATGGTGGTTTCTTGCTTGCAATGAACTAACTAGTACTAGGCTACTAGCCACTTGCCAACGAGCAAGGTAGTATGGTTGTCTGGGCCGACGGTCCATGTTTTGGATCTTGTTTGGAATGGGCTGTATGATATGCCACGGAACTGCAAGTCTGGAACTACTACTTCCCCATTCGGTTTCACTTCCCTCCGGGTGAATGTGTTGTGCTGTTGTGTTCTTTACGTCTTGGAAAATGTCTATGCTTTTCTTTTTGGCCTCACTGGTACCTTTTGCTACTTTGCAAACTGCAATATGACGCTACTCGTTTATGTAAAATTCGTAAACATGCAGCATTCGTGGTAGTGTATATATTTTTATCCTGCGTGGGACTGAGGCAGGGGAGCAGGAAGCATCTTTCTGCGTTGCATTTCTCTGTCTCGCCGGCCAACTTTCACATCCTTTTCTCCCGACAACTTTCTCTCGCAGGATCCGCTTTCCACGACGGTTTCACATCCTTTTCTCCCGATGGAGTTGTGGACGTACTACTTCGCAACAGTATACGAAGCCAATAGGCCGCGGTTGCTTCGCCGTGAGGCTGTGGCCCTGTGACTCTGTGAGTGTGAGTCAAGTCAATGACCCAGCCAGTGAGACTTTCCTTTCCTCTCTCCGTGGCCGCGAGTGGAGGAAGGAATCTGCAAAGCGATGCTATGGCCATGGGGCTATGTACTCGGTTGCGTCACTTTGCTTACATGGGCCTAGGGTGTTATCTATATGGTCTATAGTTCTCATTTAGTTTTCCTCTAAAAATATATATTCTCTTTTGCCTTTATCCACTTCCTTTTTTCGCTGTCGATCTTCTATTCGCTGAATGTACTGAGTAAACATGGGCAACGACTGTTCATTCGGTTCTTGGGCTGATCATCAACTGATTATTTGGGGGAAAAAACTAGAAAAGGAGGTTCAGTAACCGTAGAACTGGGGCCGCAAGAAAAAAAAAGGAGATGCAAAAGATGGTGCGGTTTCTTCCCAGCCTGTGGTATCTTGCTACTTCCTCCGTTCCAAAATGAAGCCATTTCTGAGGTTGGCATGGGTATTAAGAAAGTAGGTGAGAATGATTGGAGGAAGTGTGTGATTGGTTGAAAAGAGAAAGTAGGTGAAGAAGAATGGTTGTGATTGGTTGAGAGGAGGAGGTAGGTGAAGAAATAACTTTATTTTGGGACAAGACACTGTGCTAGAAATAGCTATATTTTGGGACGGAGGGAGTACTAGTATGGGGCATTGCCATTGCCTATTGCATCATTATATTTACAGACCAGACTACTCCCTCCGTCCCAAAAAAGGCAAACCATGAATTTCCGTGTCCAATTTTAACTGTTCGTCTTTTATGAATTTTTTTTATAATTCATATTTTTATTGTTATTAGATGATAAAACATGATTAATATTTTATGCGTGACTTGTCTTTTTAATTTTTTTCATAATTTTTTCAAATAAGACGGACGGTCAAACGTTAGGCACGGAAATCAATGTTTGTCTTTTTTTTTTTTTTGACGGAGGGAGTATGCATCTTCAGAGTCGTACACGATTTAGCTTCATCGGTAAGGCTCCATTCTAACTGTAGCTTTTTTTTTATAAAAAATAATGGGATCAAATTGCATTGATTCAGCTTTGCAAGAAAGCCAAGAGCAAAGAATGGCCGATGTGCCCTAATTAACCAAAGCTAAAATTTGATTTTTTAAATTTAATTTTAAAGTTCGTTTTAAAATATTTTCAACGTAGTTTCTTTTTTATATTGGTTTTTAAGTCGTTAAGGATAAATATATAAAAGTTTTACCTACAAATTAAATTTTATTTTCTAATAAACTGTTTTGGTTTACTAAGAAATATGGGTAACCGATGATGCTAGAAGTCTTTCTATATTATGAAACATAAGTTCAAACCATGTGCATTTCCTATATTCGAGTTGAACCGGTACAGTTCACGTTGTTTTTGTTTTTGCCATTTTCAAATGAGACCAATGTGACTATGTGAGGCTCCGTTGGAAATTATGTGACAATATTTCCTTCTAACTATAGTTAAAGTATCTTCATTCTCGGATGAGCATATAATCGAGCACGCACACCCTTACATGCTATACTCACAATATTGGGACAACTTATATACGCACACATGTACACTTGAAATTTAAAATGATTTCTTTCAAAAGGAATTTTGAAAATGATCAGAATGACAAAACAACCCCTTCTAAAATTGGTCAACACAATATCAATTCTACCGTATCATCATGTGTACTAGTAGTAATGTGTTGGGCTTGTTTTGGGATAAACATTTACCAAGAGGGGCATTTCATTTTTTTTTTGGCAACCGGATCCTAGTAAAAGCCACTTATATAGTAGTATATCTTTTAAAGAAGAAATAAAAATGTAACCTTATCCGTGGCAATAGATCTTGTGCAATACTGCTGCTATGATAATAAAAGCCACACATATATATAGGCCTTCACGTTCCATTCTTTTCCATGCTTTGCACGAATCTCGAAGCAACATCAACGGTACGTGACACCTCCGGCCCTGGCCTCCTGCGCCCCTTCATTTATCCGTCTTCGCTTTAATTCCTTTAAATGCTACGTGCACATTGACCGGGCGACTCCTCGTCCTCGAATCCCTCTGCTCACTACCGTCGCGCTCGCTTATATTGCGGGAGTCGGCGACGAAAACCACCGAGCACCCGTCGGCGCAGCAGCGGCGGAGCGAAGGGAAGGGAAGGGAAGCCGCGATCCAGCCGCCGTCGACTCGCCGCCCACGCAGTCGCCGCCGAGCCCCATCTCCGCCACTGCTCGGTGCGTGCGATCGTTCGCTTTACTAGCTGTACTAGCGCTCTAGAGTGCTGTGCTTTCCCCAGTTTGGCGTCGGTGCTCGGCGAACCTGTGTGTTCGATCGGATGCGTATTATGTGCGGGCGATTTAGTGTTGATGTGTCGGGTTTTTTTTTATACTCTTGGGTTTTTCGGTGGTGTTCGTTGGTGGGGGGAATATGAAGGGTTTTGAGGGAGGTTTTAGTGGAGGATGTGAATTTGAGATCGATTCGGTTGTTGTCATGCTCTTTTACACTTTTTGGTGGTTGGGGGGTGGAATTGGCAAGCGTGGAGAAGGGCAGGTGGTGGAGAAGATGAGGAAGTCTGGTAATGTACGTTCATGATGTGTTTTTGTGGAAATTGTGCTCGTCTAATTTGATCGATCCTTTTAGTTTTTTTCTCCATGCTTCTGTCACTGCATTGCATGATAATTTGGCTTTTGAAAGGGGGGAAAAAGGAATGCTCTAATTTTGGGGAATCAAGAACATGTGGTAAATATGTATAGTCCAGAGTATAGAAATGGATAGATGATAGGGATACCCAGGGCGGAGCCAGGATTTTGAGCCACTGGGTCATGGCTTTTACTTGTACTAATGTCGTGTTTAAAACTCTAATTGTTCTCGAAGCTAGATATCTTTAGATCAAAATTATTTTGGAGCTAGAGCAATGAGGAAGTTGGGATCGTTTCATTTTGTTAAAAATAAATGTTTAAACTCTATATTTTATAATTATTTTATAAGAATGCAGGAGGTTTTTTAAGGTCCAAAAATTTAAAAGTTAAGACTATAAAACCAGGCATAACAACCATGCGTTTTTTCAGACATAAAAGTTTGTTCTGAAAGTTGTTTATTACTTCCTCTATCTCAAAATACAACTACCTACTCTCTTTTTTAAAAGATTAATGTTAGGGTGTGAAATAGTTATGATTGGTTGAAAAAAGAAAGTAGGTGAAAAAATTGAATTGGGAAAATTGTGATTGGTTGAGATGGAACGGTACATAGAAAATTAGTTGTATTTTAAGATAATTTTGAACATTAAATGTAACATATTTTGAGACGGAGTTAGTAGCTTAAAAAACACAGCTAACATCTAGTAGTTGATTAGCAAAACTACAGGCCTAATGCATTGATATACACAACACATAGCTAAAACAAAGAGTTGGTTAATGGATGAAATAGGTCTAATTGCCGCATTAGTAGTGGGTTGACAGTAGCATAACCTAGCTAACAAATTGTGCTTCCAAAGAAGAAGCTGTACTATTTCAGCTTTCATGAGCTCCAGTAGTTTAGCGACCTGATCGGGGTCATGAAGCTTTTGCTGCTGGGGTCATTAGCTGCAAAATCCTGCACGATTCACTTGATCGATTGAATACCATCGGGGTCACCTGACCCTGACGATATTACTGCAGCTCCGCCCTTGGGGATACCTGATTTACAAAAAGGAATCTGGCATGTGCAATAGTTAGTATCAGGGAATAGTTTACAAAGGAAGCATGGAGATGGTTCGCATGATCATTGTTTTGCTTGTATTCTTTGATACATTACAGTACCTTGTTTACTTCACTACTTTAAGATTATGATAGAAACAGGATAAAATTTAGCTTTTAAGTTCTTTCTGTAGACGATACTTACCATTCTGCCGTAAATCTAAAGAGCTGTGCGTAATTCTTAACAATAATTGTTTATATTGATGAGTTCCTGCAGTTGTGATATGCGCCATGGGTGTCAAGACTTTACAGGTATCAGGGTTTGCTCTAGATGACAGTGCTGATTACGTCAAGGATTTGTTGGAGCGAATTGTTGGCTGTGGGAATGTGTATGCAGTAAAGCTCAGGCATCCAAAGAACGTCACTGCTACCTCAAGAGCATATGCTATAGTTCAGTTTCAGACCGAGGAACATGCTTCACTTGTAAAAAATGCGGCTCAAAGAAAGATACTCCGCCGTGGGCATTATTATCTGAAAGTCCATCCTTCAGATCGTGACATTGTTCCAAGACCAAGAGTTTCAATGTTCAAGCTAGAGGATGTAACACTGCATTTTGGTTGCCTGCTTAAGGAAACAATTTTATCTGCTCTGTGGAGTCGAAAAGGAGTTTCTGTTGAGTTTGGTTTCAATCTGAAAAAGATTTACTTTTACCTGCAGCTACCCAACAGCTCAATCGAATATAAACTTGAACTTTCCCATGAGAGCAT